TATGGTTATTAGGTAGTTGAACCCTCGCCTCAGACAGGTACAGCCCACTACTGCCACTAGGAACTGTATGGGAGACACACGAAGAGTGGCTATATTTTTTATCGCGGTTTCGTTTATTTTGTTTTTCACGCTTTCTCCAAAGCTGATAGCCACCTATTTCAACATGGAATGAAGACACACAATGAAAAATGAACTTACCTCTTACAGACAGTCACCACAAATGGGGTACACGTGCCGAGGGCACTTTGGTAGGGCACACTTGTTGCAGCGGTGCCTGGTCTTACGGTCCGACTTGCTAGGGCAGTCAGCACAGCGTACCAGGGGTGAGTTGCTGTCTGAAAATGACGTCCCTGGTGACCCAGCAGCCATGCCCGCTGATGGAAGGTCACACACGGTAGTTATCAGAGTGCGTAGTTGGCGGGACAGGACTGGTGAGGACAGGCGTATCTGAGCCCAGGGAGTGATGAGTGCCCTTGCCATGTTCATCATGAAGGTCCTCCTTTGCGGTATCTTGATGCCTGTCCTTGCACGATTCTCGGCACTGATGATGAAGGCATTGATGATCGCTGCATTGAGGATGCCGTACCACACACAGAGGGGCCAACGTCGTGTCTTCCTGGAGCATGAACTTGTTGCACACATTTGGTCGAATGTGTCAACACCTTCTTTAGTGGAATTGTAAAATTCAATGATCTCTGGCTTGCCACTGGGTGCAATGTTAGGCTGGGTGTGCTGGGATGACATGAGCATAACCAACTTCTTCTTGGCAAGGGATGTCTCTGCCACGTACGACACAAGCGTCATCTCCTTGGTGAAGAGAAAGGCACTTGAACCGTGGAGTCGTGTTTTCGTTGCCTTCATCTCGTGTGGAATTTCAGTCTTGTTTGCTCGAACTGTGCCAACAAGTGTCATTCTACAGTTGTTCATGAGGTCGGCGATGAGAGGAACTGATGTGAACCAGTTGTCTGTGGTCACATTTCTGTTTGATCCGTGGTATGGCCTGGTCAGTTCTTTGGTATAATAATGCCCGAGGTTGATTCCACTCCGTGGTTGCTTTGTCCCCTGCTTCCCAAGGTAGGGTATGCCACCAAGCATGTATCTGGTGCTCGAGTCACATATAAGGACAAGCTTGATGCCATATTTGGCAGGCTTGTTGGGAATGTACATACGGAAGGGGCACCTCCCTCTGAATCCCAACAGTTGCTCGTCCACTGTCAGGTTCTCGCGTGGGACATAGAGCCGGGTACAGTTGTCAATGAACTCGTCAAACACCTTCCTGATAGGGGCAAACTTGTCCTGGTTCTTCCTCTCTACGCGGGTTTCAGGGTTGTCGAACCTCAGACAGCATATCAGGAACTCGAACCTTCCCTTCGACATTGCTGCTCGATACAGAGGACACCCAGTCATAACACTCCACATCTCAAGGACGGACAGATGGTTGTCTCTCTGCTGCCCTGCTGCTATGAGCACTCCCAGGAGTGCTAATATCTTCTTGGCCTCCGTTGGACCATATGTGGCTTTCTTACTCTGAGTTTGCATCCATGGTGCCGTGAACTCAATGCGTTTGTTTGTCCAGGTGACACATTCCTGAACAATAGAATCCGTAATAAACAGCTTGAATGTCTCCTCTGGTGCAATAACATCTCGTGCCTCCTGAGCTGGCCCTGGAATGATTCTTGCCAAGATGTTTCTTGATAGCCTCCTGTGTGTGTGGCCGTACTGAGGCTGACAGCTCCATCTAAACTTGCTTCGGGAGGAAATAGACGTTTTATTGAAGTCTACCACAGGTGGAAGTTCAGCATCCTGGCGGCGTCTTCCTCGCCTTACAGGGGCGGCAGCAGCTGAGGTAGTGGCAGGGGCGGCAGCAGAGGTAGTGGCAGTGGCAGCAGCAGCAGAGGTACTGGCAGAGGTAGTGGCAGGGGCGGCGGCGACAGCAGGGGTACGACATTTTATGGGTGTTGACGTGTATATCTTTCTTTTTTTCTTTTTAGGAGCTCCATCCCCCTCATCATACTCATCGCTCTCATCACTTTCCGGTTCTAACAGAGGAAAATACTCAACATCTTCATCACTATCATAGAGTTCTTCTATTTCTAAATTGTCTTCTACTTCACTGTCAATATAACTAAATGCCTCTACATCATCCACACACTCACTATCATCATTATCTTGAACTGATGTTACACCTGTTTGGTTCATCAACTCAATAATCTGTTCATCAGTTAGCCTCTTGCCTAGGCCAGCCATAATTAGGTTATTTCTGTAATAAATAACTCAATACCTGAAAAGAAACACACGTACAATATTGTGCACTACCACAATATATAAGTTAAAAAAAGAAAATAGGGGCGAAAGGTAATGAAGGTAGAATCCATTTTCTCACGATCGCCACACATATCACAAAATAGTCTGGTAACCACAACGTCGCGAGTATTCCACCCGGGTATAAAGTCTGACGGTAACCACAACGTCGGGTGGAAATCTCCCGAAATCACAAACTTTCCACTGTAGTGGAAAATTCCAGCCCCCGAGCAGGAGCGCGCACCCACCTTTCACGGTGTCACACTACTGACTGAAGGTACTGGGGAGGGTAGCGGGGAGCGTCCTTATCTTAGGTGTGTATCACGTGTCACCCACATGCGAGCGGGTGAAAATCTCCCGGCGATGTGGTTCTAGGGATATATATATATATATACACGTATATATATACTCATATACAGTGGGGTATGCTATAACGAACGTAATTGGTTCCAGAACCTCGTTCGTTATAGCATTCGTTCGTTATAGGATTAATCCGTTCCAGGCCCCCAAATACAACCGCTTAACACTGAAAAAATTCTGTGGAATGTAAAAAATACGGTACTTTATCTTACCTTAGTGTTATTCAGCATGCAGGTACCCCTAAACACTGGCACATCACTATCACTTCCACTGGGAGTCTTGGCTTTAAGGTCCTCAAACAATTGTCTGGCCTTCTCACAAATTATAGCTTCACTAATGTTACCACCTGCCATTTCTTTCTCCTTTATCCACACTAAGAGTAAATTTTCCATCTCTTCAATCACATTACACCTTGCTTTGCTAAGTCTAAAGATTCCCTAAGCCACTTGCACAGTTTTTAACTCCTCTTTATTCTTCAAAATCGTACATATAGTCAATTTAGCCATCCCATATTCATCACTAAGTTTTGCAATGCTTCTTCCATTCTCACGTTTCTTTATAATTTCTTTCTTAGTTTCAAGGGTTATTAGCTTTCTCACTCGCTTTGGACGACTCATTGTTACAATTGTATACTTGTATAACAAAATAGTTATACAAATAACGCGAATTTCCACATCAAAAGACGAAATTTCAACAATAACAGTGGTGCACTGGCTACACAATGAGACAAAGATGGCGCCTGACGCTCTTGTTGTGGGTCGCGGTACAACAATATTCATACGCCAGGCGAAATAGTCCGGTATTCATCCGCGTTCGTTGTAGGAGTTGCGTTCGTTATAGCATTCTCAATTTTATAGGTAAAACCGTTCGTTATAGGAATATTCGTAGTAGGATCCGTTCGTTATAGCATACCCCACTGTATATATATATACATATATATACAGTTGTACCCCACTTAACGCGGTCAATAGAACCCAGAGGGTCCCGTGTTAAGTGAAATCCGCGTTAAGTGAACAACAGAACATATGGGATTAATTCCAATAGAAACCGGCCCGACCCCCAAACTCCACTTTTTGAAGGCACATACCTATGTTGTAGTAAAAATAACATCTTAATTTTATGATGGTACATGCACACAATTAATACTTAAGAGAAATAGAGAAATACAGTCGCCAAGTTAATGTCCATTCAAATAATGGACTCAACTCCCTCCCCCTCTCACACTACACTGCCGGCTCTTCCCTCTCTGAGAAATTATTGGGGGAAAACCACTAAATTTTAATAAATAATATCTCAAACTAAAGTTAGGATAATACAATTGACATTGCTGGATTCCTTGTAAGACCAGGAATATTTTGAATATAAATGTCATATATTTTGCACAAAAGATAACATAGTTAATTTGAGAAAAAATTTTATCTAAAATTTGTATGTCTAATGCAAAAATATGATGTTTATATTCAAAATGATCATCAAATTATAAGAATTCCAGCAATGTAAATTATATTCAGACCGGGTAATTTGTATGAATTTTATGAGCTAAAACAAATATCTTCAGTTAATAAAAAAAAAAAATCTTCACGACACTATCTGTCAATCAAAGTACCCCACCTTGCCTCCCCCCTCTTCCAACCGCGCGGTCAGTCCCAACCCTCCCCCCCACCCCCCACCAATCCTCCCTTCCAGAGTTTTTAACATTTAGTATTAAATAATACCTCAGATTAAAGTTAGGATAATATAATTGACATTGCTGGATTCCTTGTAAGACCAGGAATATTTTGAATATAAATGTCATATATTTTGCACAAAAGATACCATAGTTACCTAGAGAAAAATTTTTATCTAAAAATTGTAAGTTTAAAGCAAAATATATGATGTTTATATTCAAAATGATCACCAAATTATAAGAATTCCAGCAATGTAAATTATATTCTGGCCGGGTAATTTGTATGAATTTTATGAGCTAAAACAGGCAGTCAGGCAGGGTGGCGGGTGGGGCAAATCTAAAAATAGCGTCTCGAGCCGGACACTCACCGCGTAGATGTGGAAAAAATCTGTGTTAAGTGAAAGTTCAGCTCTGGCGAGGCACCGCGTATATGATAAAACGCGTTAAGTGAAACCGCGTTAGGCGGTGTAATACTGTACAGTACTCCGTCTTTATCGACGGGGGTTACGTTCTGTAAACGGCCGTCGATAAAGAAACCGTCGATACCGTGATGGTTACGTAATTTTTCTAACTATTATTAGCATATGTTGAATAAACGTACCTTTAAGCATTAATGCGTTTCCTTTACACATAACCTTAAATAATAGTGTATAAATAATAATATAATAAGTGGACAAAAATACTAGCAAACTTACGATTTCATTTATTGAAGTGAACATCGGTCCTTACAGTAAACAATACAGTGTACAGTATATACAAGTGTGATGATTGAGGCTTATTAAAAGCCTGACCAGTCAGATGAGTATGATGAGTCAAGGTCTGCATCTTCTTGAGGGGTGTGGGCAGGTACTGCGTCTTGTTGTTGTGAGGTGCCGGCAGCTTCTACGTCTTGTTGTTGTGAGGTGTCGGCAGCTTCTGCCTCCTGTTGCAGGATGCCGGCAGGTTCAGCGATGGCAGGCACTCGGCGACTGAAGAAGTTGGTGATGGTGGTCTGTGCTTTCTTGCTTCTCATTTCCCTCTGCAGTTCTATATATGGCAACATAACATTTTCAATAGCTCTCTTTGCTTTAAGGGACCTATCAAGGGAGGGATCAATGTCATAGAGACGAGCAGAGAGGGCCTTACTCATTCTTATTACTTCACCAAGATTATCTAAAGTTAAGTTCTTATTTTCATCATCACTCACTTCATCTTCTGTTTCATCCTGCAGCTCCACTAATTGTTCTAGTTCATCACTTGTAAATGGATCTCCAACATTTCCCAATAACTCTTCTTGCACCTCTGCCGCTGTTAAGTCAGAGAACCCTTCACCTCCAACTTCATTTGCCATAGTTATTATGTTGCGTAACTGAGGCTCGGCTGTTGGGAACCCTGTGAATGTTGGGACAATTTCAGGCCACAATTTTTTCCAACATGATCGGACACAGTTCTGCGACAGTTCATTGTGGCTTTCAGCGATGAAGTTTATGCACTGTGCAATATCAAATTTCTTCCACATTTCTCTGGGTGTCACATCAGCATCCTTATCAAGGCACTCACGAATCATGCTGAAAGTCTTCTCTGCATATTTAGCCTTAAACACGACAATGACTCCCTGGTCCATTGGCTGGATGATGGAGGTGGTGTTTTTTGGCAGGAAAACCACCTCAATGTTGGGGTGGGCAGTCTTGAGTTCTTCAGAGTGGCCAGGGCAATTATCTAGATATAATACCACTTTGAACTCCATGCCAAGTTCATCCAGATAATCTTTCACCTCTCTAGCAAAGCAGTTTTTCAGCCAATCCACGCACAAATCAGATGTCATCCACGCTTTCTTGTTGTTCCTGTAGAAAACTGGTAGCAAGTTCATGTTTTTATTTTTGAGAGCCCGAGGTCGTGCGGCAGTGTATAACAACATGGGCTTAATCATATGCCCTGCCGCATTCCCACATAGCATCACTGTCACTCGGTCCTTCGCAACTTTAAATCCAGGGGCACTTTTTTCCTCTTTAGAGATGTAGGTTCGGCGTGGCATCTTCTTCCACCATAGGCCTGACTCATCAGCATTAAAAACTTGTTCCGGCCTATAACCCTTTTGTGCTATGTGGTTAGCAAACTCTGCAGGGTATGCTTCCCCTGCCACAGTGTCTGCTGATGCTGCTTCGCCAGTCACTTTTATATTATGCAGCCCATAACGATGTCTGAATTTCTCGAACCATCCTTTGCTAGCTGCAAATTTTTTCAAATTGTCACCATCACCCTGATTATCACCATCACCCTGATTATCACCATCACCCTGATCATCACCATCACCAACACCATGATCATCACCTTTAGAAAACTTATCATAAAGTTCCTTAGCTTTCTGCCTAATAAATTTTGAGTCAAGTGGTATGCGGCGGCGGTTTAGGTCCTCTATCCAAATGTTCAGTGCTTTTTCCATTTTAATGAGGGCATCATCACGCACATGGCTTGTCACTTTTGATGTCACTGGTGCACTTGAAGCTAAAGCGTGCTTCAGATCCTTTGCACGTCGTTTAATTCCACGCACACTGGATTCGTTGAGCCCAAAGTGGCGGCCAACAGCTGCATAGCTCATACCGCTGTCGAGTTGTTTCAGCACTTCATTCTTCTCATTCAGCGTCAGCACTCGTCTTGCCCTCTTAGGTGTAGATCCAGAGGGAGCAGCAGGTCGTTTGGGAGGCATGGTGATATAAGTTGATGTGATGAACCACCAGCAAAAGTTGAAAATCAAAGACTGTTGCCCACGCGGCTTGGCTGATGTCTGTGTTCAGGGAAGGCGGGCCGCGGGTAGACGCTAGTCACGCCACTAGTGCCGCCTAGCGGCGAAAGTACAAACAAGGCCCGCAGAGTTCAAATAAAGCCAAAATAAAAATCCGGCTAAATAATCCGTCGATAATCGAAACCGTCGATAAAAAATCCGTCGATAAAGAGGGAGTACTGTATATATATATATATATACATTGTTACGCCGTCTCTTAATTTACTTAAATATCCAGGTTCTAGGCGTAACCAAACAAAAAGTGAAGTAAATTAAAAGAGAATAAAAATAAATAAAGTAAACCTTTAAGAATTTAATTGATTAAATATTAACACAATAAAGAGCCTCGTAGGCTGTCACAACAAATTGATTCACCATCGAAACTTTTAAGACACAAGTGATACAAAACATC